CCGGAATCACTTTCATACCTTTACGGACATGCATTTGGATACAATTAATACCCAGTTTCGGTTTAAGTTTTACAATTGCTGTATTATTTCCCATCGGCGTAGATCGAGTCATCGCAATTTCGGTACCTTTAAGGTAATAATTTCGACAGGACAAGTAACTTCAATTTTTGTACCGGCGGCAAATAGAACGCTTCTCAAATTGCAAAAAAAAAAACTAAATGATTTGTTTTTCCTTTTGAAGTCGAATATATTTCTCAATAAAAACTGTGGTGGTTACTTGCAGATATCGGAGGATGAAGAAGAAATTTTATATTCCAGCAATGATCCTACCACCTTTACTTTATTCATTCACTTTGCTCATATTGGTTTATATTTATAATGGGAATAGCGAGTAAGACAAATTCTCAACGCATAATTAATAACGACTAATGAAACGAAAATTTGAGAATGAATTTACTGAGTAAGGTTGAAATGATTGAACATGCGAGAACAACACTTTTTGTTGAGATCAATGAACAAAATCACAATTGACCTCGTCCCGAAAATTTTTTGCTTCGTTTGCTTTTGAATGATAGGTATAAATTTATTTACCTTGTTAAGGGAAATACGAAGCGAAAGAGCGATATGATCAGAAATCTGATGTAGAATGAGCTTGAATAAAGCTTTATTAAAAGAGAAAAATGACAGAAATATCAAAGTCTCTGAGCAAAGAGAATTACGTAAGATGCTCAATGTTCAAAATACTCCTAAAAATGTACACTAAACGCTCTATTCCTTATTTATTTCCTTACTAACCATTGGTCTTGCCATTTTGCTTGCAGTGACGAAGTAATATGTGGTGTATCAGCGGTATATATCGGTCGGTTAAGGCCGATTTGGGGCATTTCGTCAACTCTTATTAATTTAGCAACAATTATACTTTATGTAATACTGAGCCGAGTTGTAGTGAAGGCTAAAACAAGTGAGCTATTGAATTAACTAACAAAAAGCGTGCAAAGTAAAGTATCAATCTGAACGGTGCTTGCTTTATCTGCTTATCATTGAACCGGATGTCCATGTTATCACAATAATCTTCATCTCATCCCTTAATTATTCAAGTGCTGTTATTTCTATATTAGGGTCATATTTTTCCAAGATTTCATGAAAGCTAATTAATTATGAATAACTGAAATGAATGCCATAGCATTGTCCTATTTCTTATTTCAGCAACTAGAAACTTCGAGCTGTTCCAAACATTAAAGATAATCGTGGCATTTATTGGACTGGGGCATTTAACAACAATGGTAATCTTTATGTCCACAGTGTTCCTGGATATTCCTAGAATGACAAAGTATTATGTGGCATACTATGGTGGAATATTTATTAATATAAGCGTTTCATGCAATTGGTTATTTTATTATTGGAGAAGGTAAAAATTTACCTTGCAAGACATTGAAAGAAAAAATGTGGTAATTGAAATATTTTTGCTTTGGAAGGGTATCCTCAATATTAGTCATAACACTACTAATGGATTGAACTAATAGATTGAATCTATAGCTGTGAAGAAATGTTATTGCAGTACGGAATATCGGAACGAATTTAAAAGGCAACTCAAGAAACTTCCATGCCTTAGGGATGTTGTAGATTTGCAACCGAAATGTATTGCACACAAATCACTGGCCATAATTCATCGGCAGATTTCCACAAAAGTTGGTCCTAAGAATCTTCCGAGTTTGTCCTGATTTTCAAAACAATGGAGATTGATGATAAAGAATCTGGATTAGTCGGGAATATTAGCAACGATTATTATAGCCATTCGTAGTTTTTCTCGTAATTACGTAACTCGCACATTTTTGCACGTCGGTTCGTGAGGATTGAATAAAGTTATTTTTGCAATAAAATCGACAACTTCGTCGCTTTAAAAAACAAAGGAACAAGATGAATATCATATAATGTGCTCACGTTCCAGGCAATTTCTCGCATTTTTTTTTCTCTTTAAGGCAATTTCAGACTTAAAACATTAATAAATTGAATCTCAATGTAATATTTTTAGTCGAATTTTTGCCGCAATATTCCATCTGAATAATACACCACGGGAATGAAATAGGCGAATTAATTTAAGAAGTCGACTTGATAAGCTTGTTGATTAGCCTGGACAAGTTTTCCGTCCTTCTGAAAATACTTTACACTAATTCAACACATTTTCCCATATTACGTCTTCATTCTTTTCTTTTCTTTGTCCTCATAAACATTCACATAACGCGAAATAATATGAGAAGAGAAAATAGGATGAGTCTTGTTCTCGTTCTCAGGTAAATGTGTCGCAAGTGTTCCGCAAAAATCAATGGCGGTCATGTGTTGCAAGGATATAGCGTGGTCACTTTTTCATGAAAGTTCTTTGTTGTGGTGACTGTACTCCACTTTTCCCTTCATTGCCGTGGATAAAGTCGCTATGAATAAAACTCAAAAAAAGCAATATATGTTGCAGAGGATTTATTTGGTCAAAAAATTTCATTTTTCGTAAAGATGAGCACAGCTTCTGCATATTCAAGCATTTATGACAATATCATAGTACTTCCCGAGATTCTGAAGGATTCTAAACAGCTTGTTTGCCGACCTTTTATTGAGTCCTAGTCTTTCACATTCTTCTCGATGCTCTTTTAGTTTTCACCCACTAAAATATTTGCTTCATTTCTGGTATTT